TTTTTTTGAACACACCCCTTTCAACTAATTGCCCAATTGCACAGCCTTAAGAGCGTGCATATCATGAATGCTGGGTCTTGTTTGCTTTCTGAGAATCTACTGCACCTACTGGTAACTTGTTTGCCATGTAGCAATAAAAAAATATACTAAAAACCTGGATTATTCTGGTTAGTCACATTGTACTGCTATTATTTTGAACAATACTGTATATACAAAATAAAATTAACTTGGATCTTCAAGGGGGGGCAGGGCGCCCCTCTAACACTGCTGCAGATAAGATCCGAAACACTGACGGTGATATTCATATACAGTATCTTTCTCCCAGAGCCTCCAGTCCTACTGGGAGTGCTGGTGTTAGGGCCCTTCATGTACTCCAGAGACCCTCAACTCCATCACTGGATGGACATGGTCAACACTCTACAGGAGCCAGTGAAGCTGTGGCACGGATTGAGCAGAAACATTTAAGCCACCAAACGTGAACAGATCCACAGACACACATGTGCATGTACATACACACATAGTCTGAAATAATAGTATAAAAGTGCTAATAAATGTGTTCGTAGTTAAAGGCGATTTCCATCTGCTAATAAAAGCGTGTCTAGATGAAAGGTGTGTTTGTAAATTGCATGTGATTTTTACTTTGTCAGTGTGTGCACGGAAGATATTTCAAAGCTGGACCCTGAGAAAGTTCGGCGCTGTTCCCCACTGCAAGTGGGCCACACAAAGAGGAAGTAAAGATTGAAGTTTTTTTTTTTTTTGGTGTGTGCGCCAGGCGAGCAGCTTTCAGTGGGGAAAATAAATAGAATATATAAATGTATTAACGTTATGAAAAGACGTTCTCACAATACAAACACTGAAACATCTCCTACCTTTTCCCCTTAATACATCCGTGGAAAGAATGGTTCCCATCGTGTGATTCGGTATCAAGCTGTTATATGTTAATAGGACGTACAACAGTTGAATTTAGTTTATTGTTATAATCGGTCCTATTGGTGTTTGTGTCTGGTTTGGCACCATGAAGATAAACGAAAACACTTTACTGGAGGGACACAAAGTTGTGTTGGTTCCTTACAATGCAAACCACGTGACCAGGTAACGTTAATATTAACACCTGATCAGTTTTGTTACACACGAGAAGCCTGTCACTTTGTTATTTTATTTTCCTCTGCTGATATCTTTAGTGATGAGTGTTTGAATGTCATTTCTTTACTATCAATGTTTAAACCTGGCGGATGGGTTTTATTTTGACTTGTAAATAAGTTCCATGTAGTAGCTTTTCTGGAGATTTCCATCGTATAGTACAGTCTCATTTGTCATGGAGCATTTGAAAGCTTTTTGTCCGTGCTGTGGCACAAGGTGAAGAAATAACTTAGGACAGATGACCCAGCTGTCAGCTTTTGATCCTTTGACAGTTTAAAGTCTCTTTAACTGGCACAGCCGAAACAAAATGTCAGGCTAGGTATATATCTATAGCCTACTACAGTCAGACGTGCCAAATAAGAAACATGGTCTTCAACATGAGTTCATGTTTATTTTAAATTTTATTGTGTCAGCTGGAAACCATACAACCATGTAGTGTACTCGAACAGGAATGTGCATGGCGAATCAAATCCCAAACAATCAATTAACCAATAAATGACACGTCTCGATTGCACTTCATTTTACTGACCACGAGATGGTCCACTACTCGTGCACTGTATCATAAGCCTCGGGTAATGAACCATTTATTGAATACTATGTCGAAGCTTCAACATAGCCTCGATCAGCCATCACTGTTTGACACCCCTCCTTATTCATACTCAATATTAGTGGTTTTAGATTTTATTTAAAAAATAAATGGTAGGAATAAGCTACAGTTTTCCCTAAAAGCCTAAAACATGTCTTGTAACTTTTCTTTTTCTTGTTCCTTCTCCTCAGCACACACTCAGGTTGCCATTTATTTGTGGTACACAGCATTACACCAATCTCAACAAGTGACCCATTACTGCCTGCTAGTCAAATTAATGGCAATTTAATGGTACAAATAACAATGTACAGTATGCACAATTTTTGTGAGCATGTGTAGGAACGATTTGTACGTAAAGGCGTTTCTGAACATGTGAATAAAATCTGTAAACAAATTATGTTACACAAAAACACTGAAAACAAGCCTGTTTGTGAACATCTGTGTACAGGCAGAAAGTAGCAAATTGCACATACACCTGTATGTAGCAGTGCTGATGTTTAGTGTGAATCACACTTCAATCTGATTGGACAAAGATCAGAGGATATAGGCACTTATTACGTTGTTTGAGAGCACAGCGTTAAACAAGGTAATATGATGTGAACTGAGTGAGATTATTTTGTTATAGTAGTAGGTCGGTTATTCATTCTGATCCACACTCCAGTCTAGAAGATGGCGGTAATGCATCTAAAGCTGTTTGCCAATTGCCATTAAACGGCAGAAGAAGAAGAAGAATCTGATTGGACAGTGACAGTTCAATCACAGAGCATAGTCTAATTGTCCAATCAGGTGGCAGGTGGGTACTATAAAGTAGTCTCCAAAGGCACGGCCGCTCTTTTGCTGGTCAGTGGGTTGCATTAGAAACTTGTAGGAAATTGCAGTAAACATCTCGTGTTTCGTTTTGTATGTAGGCAGCGCGCAGGTGTTTCGCTGTTAACACAGTTGTCCAAATGTATGTTTTCTATTTCAGGTGGGATACTTTATCTAGCGTTAGCCGAATGCTAATGTAGGACGTTAGCAAAACTCTGCTAGCAAGAAAATTTTCAGTGGTAATGTTAGTCGTCCGGTGCTCTTTTGCTTTGGTTTTATATGCCCCATTAATGTAAATGCCCTTTAAATTTAATGTTAATCGCGCACCTCGACAAAAAAACGCCGACCGGTTTGGACCTCACCAGGTCTTCATCAGCACGGAAACTTAACATTACCTCCGGGTACTCCGTCTTCCTCCCACAGTCCAAAGACATGCAGCTTAGGTTGATTGGTGTCTCTAAATCCTCCATAGGAGTGCGTGTGTGGTTGTTTGTCTATGTGTTAGCCCTGCGATGGATTGGCGACCTGTCCAGGGTGTACCCCGCCTTTGCCCGATTGCCGGCTGGGATTGGCTCCGCACCCTCGTGACCCCGTCAGGGATTAAACGGTAGAAAATGAATGAATGAATGAATGAATGTTCTATCTGTAATGTTTATGGCAAACATTGTCATAACATAGTGATTGACCATTGCTCTCAAGTGAAACAGCTAATTGATAGTATTCACTGTGGATAAACTTGTAAGTAACTTTGAATAAGCTGATTGTGTTAATTCTGTCGTCACAGGTCCTGATCCTCCAAATGTCTGGAAACAAGGCATCCATGGCTCTGGAGTTCTTCCTTGATGCTGCAAAGAAACCTGACTACATCCAGGTATTCCTGTCTTTGATAACTTCTGTGCACTTCGCCATATCAAGTTAAACTATTCTCTAAATTAGACTTTATAGTAGTAACTCTGCTTTTCAGTCATTTAAAGTTGACAACTTGCCTATAGGCAACCTTGTAGAATAAGTTTTGTCAACTTAAACACTTGCATCTTAATTTGATTGCATTTTTCTCCCACTGCCTCCAATCCAAGATCTTGACATTGTTCGATGGAAGAGTCCTTTCCTGTGAACAATGCAAGACTCAGTCCTGTCAACCCTTCATGAGGACATTGAGGTAAGAGCAACTAGGACAATTTTTGTAAAAACTATTGGCTTAATTATCTTCATTTTTTCCAGGTGTGGCTCATGCTTGGAGTACACTGAAGAGTTTTGTCTTTAATAAAACAATAAAGCCATTAGAACTCAAACTTTCTTGTAATGAAGGGGGAAAAAAACCAGAACAAGGCTGAAAAGTCAAACAGGCCTAAAGACCACTTTTTTTTATGGCACTGTTCAGGTCTTGGTTCCTCATTGTATCTAGTAAAGAACTAAGACCCAAACCTGTGCCTTATGGTAAAACACAAAGCAGAACCAGCAAGTTTAAGTTGCAATAGCTTTATTAAAAAGAAACAACCCACATCAGAACAAAGCTGAAAATGCTGCTGAAGTTTTGGCTATAAAGACTCCATAACTGTGGTCCAGGCACACGCAGTGCAACAGCAGGGAGAAAATGAGGTATTCCGCCTTGATGCCACCCATAGGGATTTCCCATCTTAAGCAGCTGGCTGAGCTGGCATTGAGAGCCTGCAAAAAAAGTTTGGTAAACACTTTCAATAATAAATGGTGCATTTATAAATAAACTTGGCTGTCTTTATGCATATCCTCAAGAAAGCTGCTGTGATCTTCTGGCCACAGGACATCTGGTTAAGGACTACCTAAGGGAGAAATGGAAAAAAGTTTTGAGTTTAAAGCACAATATGCTCTATGAAACAACCCATGTTTGATACATTTGCTTAATTTTGAAGCAAAGACTTAGTGGGCACATTTGTATCTTAGCAGTGAACATGTACATACAAACAGATATGCATGCAGAATGGACACCAAAGGTTGAAATAGCCGTCTCTAAATTACTGGTGGCAAGTCCCAAGAAAAGGCCATACTGCTGGGTTCATCACCATCAAGCCTATAAGGAATATTCACTTGAATTGCCAGTCAATTTATGAAACAGACTATGCAAATGTGATCTTTAACAGCAATTTAAACTACTCTGCAGTTGTGAACCACCACATTTAAGCACTAAACTGAATATTAAATCTCAATGTCTGAACAATAACCCCTGAATTGTCTGGAGGTTTGTCGTGCGAGCCCACAAAGCTTTGGGTCGTCATCTTCACTGGGCCGTGTGCCTCCAAGTTCTGGAGTTGATGTACTCAGCAGGTCTTCAGGTGCACTGTATAATATACATATGAAAAGTGTTGAACTGAACTACAAATATTGTACAAGGTTAATCCTACAGCAAGTGAACATGAGTAATAAAGTACTATCAAGTACTAGTCCAGTCAATACAATTCTACTTTGAACAAAATGTTGCAGGTATATTTTAGCAGCTTTGTAGGTTTTGATCATAGCACAAGGTCTATATTCAAAATTTAATATGAAGCCAACAATTGATGAGAAACCTGTAATTACAAGCGCTACGAAAGCTAATGAATCCACCATGAGTGAGATTGTCACCTACCTTTCACTGCACCGCTACCTTTATTCCTGGCATCGTTTCCACTGTGAATGAAACCTGATATTTTGAATATTAATTTAAACAAAAGGCTTCTCGGACCGTTAATGAAGACTGGTAGCTGATGGTTTGTCTGGACTTTAATCCAAACGGAGGCTCCGTCTCACACAGACATGGCAGAAAACCTCTTTACTCACGTACCAACCTAAAAAGGTTTGTCCACTACAACAAAGAAATCCGTGTCAAAGACCAGTGTCCTCTAAACATTAGTGAACGTGTTGGGTGTTTAAAACAAGAAGGTGCTAACGTCAATCTATTCCAGATATATTAGATATGTAACACTTCCCATAACGCTGTCAGTCAGACTACAGAGCCAACGGGGGATAGGTGGCTAGTTACCGCCAAAATCTCATAGAACGACGTTTTAATAAACAAATTAACCTCATTGTTAAAATGAACATGCTAAACCAAAACAATAGGGTATCGGAAGGCTGACCACATATAGAACTAATCAGAGGACACATGGCTGGTTTGTCTTCAGCCCGAAAGGCTTCTTGCTAGCAGAGCTTTGCTAACGCTACACGCTAACACTAAACTCCCGTTAACGCCAGATAAAGTAACCTTATATCTGCATACACACAGAACGCTACACATTATATTTTAACTCCAAAAGATCTACGGTGGATCAACCGCATCACCAGTGAGCCATGGCCGTCCATGTCCCCGTCACCAGTGAGCCATGGCCGTCCATGTCCCTATCACCAGTGCGCCATGGCCGTCCATGGCCCTATGGTGTTGGTGGTGGTGGGTGGGTGGGGGTTAGTATTGCTGCAGATAAGATCAAAACACTGGCACAGTGGTATTCATATATCTTTCTCCCAGAGCCTCCAGTCCTACTGGGAGTGCTGGTGTTAGGGCCCTTCATGTACACCAGAGGCCCTCAGCTGCAGCACTAGATGGACATGGTCAACACTCCACAGGAGCCGGTGAAGCTGTGGCACGGTTGGGCAGATACATTTAAGCAACCAAACATGAACAGATCCACAGACACATGTGCATGTACATACACAGAGTCTGAAATAATAGAATAAAAGTGCTAATAAATGTGTTCGTTTGTAAAACGCCTCGAGGCGATTTCCATCTGCTAATAAATGCGTGTCTAGATGAAAGGTATGTTTATTTGCATGTGGTTATTACTTTGTCGGTCTGTGCACGGCAGATGTTTCCACGCTGGATCCTGAGAAAGTTCGGTCGCTGTCCCCCACCGCCCCCCAGTGCGCATGTGCAGTGGACCCCAGAATGTGGAAGAAACCCGGAAGAAAAACAAATTTGCCCCCCTGTGCACCAGGCGAGCAACATTCAGTGGGGGAAATAAATAGAATACATGAATTTATTAACGTTATGAAAAAACATTCTCACAATACAAACATTGAAAAACCTCCTACATTTTCTTCTTAATACATCCATGGGAACAATTGTCTCCACCTTGTGATTCGGTTTCCAGCTGTCATGTTAATGGGACGTACAAGGGTTGAATTTAGTTTATTGTTATCAGTTTTATTGGTGTTTGTGCCTGGTTTGGCACCATGAAGATAAACGAGAACACTCTACTGGAGGTTCCTAGTTCCTTACAATGCAAACCACGTGTCCAGGTAACGTTAACATTAACACCTGATCAGTCACATGGGAAGCCTGTCACTTTTATCTTTTATTTTCCTCTGCTGATATCTTTAGTGATGAGTGTTTGAATGTCATTTCTTTACTATCTATGTTTAACCCTCCCGTGGACTTAGACTGGTGATAAAATGTGTTTTATTTTTCAAGCCATTTTGACTGTGTTGAATGAATGTAGCTCAAATTTGCTGCAGGTTATTTATTTTTTAAAAACTTAAAAATTGAGGTCTCACTTCCTTGTATTTGCCTAAAATGGCTAAAATAAAAAATAGTCACACATATGTACCTAGGTTACTGTTACTCACCGTTAAAAACCATTAAAAATGCTTTTTTTATGCCAAATATATCGTATCATGTCATATTTCAATGCCCTGAAGAAATATACAATTTAAAACGAGGGTCTCAAAATGCAATTTTAATAGTTGACCAGCAGATGGTGACGCGAGACCATTTTCAAACCCTGCAATTCATCTAAATTTCACTATTTTTCACCGTTTTTGCAAGGGTGACATGCTAAAATCACCGAAAATGATAAAGTGTGTACCACTATTGTGTGTCATATCAATATGATTTGTGTGTGTGCGCGTGTGTGTGCTTGCACTTTTGTAACTGTGTTTATGCCCGTGTTCGGATGTGCACGCGCCTAAGTACTTCTCGCTGCATAAAGCCAACCACGTAGGTTGTGGCGCATTCGTGCATGGCTGACGCCGCTCGGATTTGCTCATGTGCACTCCATGAGTTGTGTGTTTGCGTGTGTCTCTGTGTCCGTCCGTACGTGCATGCATGTGTGCGTGTCCGACTTCATAAGGCCTTTCTCTTACAAGGCCGCAATCTATTTTATAAACAATTCAAGATGAGAAGCAAAAACTGCACACCCTCTCTCCTACATATCACGACGGGGCAGGAATGTGCTGCTGCTCAGTACCAAGCACCGTGTTCACGATGTTGGCGGGGGACAGAAGAAGACGCCAGTGATGATTGTAGACTACAACCGCTGCAGATCTTGTCATGGAACTGCAGGGTGGTGGTGCTGCTGCAGGCCCCTCTGAGGAGCAAAGTCAAGGACAGACGGCAGTGACACTTGTGCACAAAAAAGAGAATTGGAGGCACCTGCTGTTAAGTGTCACAAGTTTATCTGCAAGAACCCCACTCCCTTTCTATTTGCAGCCTCTGCTGTGCTTGAGCTGGACTAATACACAGAGTGATTCAAGGTTAATGTTTTTCAGTGTTGTAAACAAATGTTCTGGTTCAGACTAATCTTGTATTTTTTATTATTTATTTTTAGAACACAACAGGGTAATATGAATTTGACATTTTACAGATGTTTTTGTAAGAAGCCATTTTTTTGCCACTAGCCACTTAAAATCTGCAACTGCTGTGCTGTGGTTTGTACATCTCACTCATTTCCTGTGTATCTCTCTTTATATCTGGACACTATACACTGTGTGCACAATTATTAGGCAAGTTGTATTTTTGAGGATTAATTTTGTTATTGAACAACTACAGTGCTCTTGGTCAATCCAAAATAAACCTCAAACCTAAATATTTAAGAAAGTAAAAGTGAGGTTTTGGCTTTCTTAGGAGAATGTCTATGTGTGCACAATTATTGGGCAACTGTTAGTGTGCAGAATTATTATGCAACTAAATGAAAAATTTCCCATCGCACTTGTTTATTTTCATCAGTTAATAATAAACAAACTCAAAACTTAAAAATTATTTTGAGACCATCTTCAACCCGAAAAGGTCCAACTAGCTCATCTTTAATAATACCAGTCCATACCAGTACCCCGCCTCCACCTCGCTGGCGTCTGACTCTTAAGTGGAGCTCTGTACCCGTTACTGATCCAGCCCCAGGCCCATCCATCAGGTCCGTCAGGAGTCACTCATCTCATCAGTCCATAAAACCTTTGAAAAATACATATTTCTTGGCCCAGTCTTGATGTTTAAATGTCTGTGTCTTGTTCAGCGGTGGTCGGGTTTCAGCCTTCCTTACCTTGGCCATTTCTCTGAGCACTGAACACCTTGTACTTCTGGGTACTCCAGGTAGGTGACAGCACTGGAGCATAATGTCTTTCTTCTCAAATCTTTGGCAGTTCATTTGTGTCTTTATTTTCTCAACATGTTTCTTGCGACCCTGTTGATTGTTTGCAACATAACATTTGATGGTTCTGTGATCACGCCCCAATATCTTATTTTCAAGAGTGCCGCATCCCTCTCAAAGACTTTTTTACAATTTTTGACTTTTCACAGTCAGTTAAGTCTCTTTTTTTGGCCCATTTTGCCTGAGGAAAAGAAGCTGCCTAATAATTATGCACACCTTGAAATAGGGTGTTAATCTCCTTAGGCCACGTACTTGCTTGCCTAATAATTGTGCTCAGTGTGGATGGACCTTGAAACAGGGTAATATCCTTATGCCACACCGTTGCTCATTGCACATATACACATCACCTGATATGCTTAAATCAATAATCATTCAAGTTTATACAGCTTGGAGTTGGAAGATATGCATAATAATCACTGTGTAGAAGTTTAAATTTTCCACATCTCTTGAATTACTGCACATTTTTCTGCAATTCAGTCTTGTACCATGTTCATCATTAATTAATTGGAGAATCAACCTGTGGTGGAGCAGGAAAAATAATAAATGCAAAATCACCATGGGAATGCAGAGAGTAGTGGATTGGATTGATGCAGGTGTATAGTTTGTTGTAAGATGACTTACAGAATAAACAACTTTTAAATAGTATTTTTGTGTGTTTGTCAGGAAAAGTAAACTGCTCCTAACATTCACTACTATCCTGTGTTGACTAAAAATAAATAGATGGATAAATCGCTCGGTTCTGATTCCTTAGATATAAACTACATTTGACGACGTGTGATAAGCTGCTTTGCTAGACTTGTCAAAGCAACTGAAAATTCTTGCATGCATCTCTGTGCAGTATTTATTTGAAACCCCTCTTTATTCATACTAAATATTAGTGGTTTTAGATTTTATTAAAAAAAAATAAATGGTAGGAATAAGCTACAGTTTTGCCTAAAAGCCTAAAACATGTCTTGTAACTTTTCTTTTTCCTGTTCCTTCTCTTCAGCACACAGTAATACCTGCCCTTTAGTGGTGGCATTACACAAAGCATTACACCAATCTTAACAAGTGTGACCCATTACTACCTGCTAGTCAAATGAATGGCAATTTAGTGGTGCAAACAACAATGTATGTACATAGTCACAATTTTTGTGAGCATGTGTAGGGAAGATTTGTACATAAAAATGTTTTTGAAAATCTGAATACAATCTGTAAACAAATTATGTTACACAAAGACAGAAAACAAACGTGTTTGTGAACATCTGTGTACAGACAGAAAGTAGCAAATTGCACATTCAACTCTATTTAGGAGTATTGAGGTTTAGTGTGAATCACACTTCAGTCTGGACAAAGATCAGGGGATATAGGATACAGAGCAATTACTACATTTTTAGAGAGCACAGCGTTAAACAAGGTAATATAATGTGAACTGAGTGAGGTTATTTTGTTATAGTAGTAGGTAGGGGCCGT